ACTAACACCAAGACACCGAGCAGAGGCGAGGCAATGAGGATGGCCACCAGCCACACAACCGCTATTCGAAACAACGCCTTCCCGTTGGTGATTTTTAAGTAGGTGTTCATCGGGAACAGGATGGCAAAGAATCGATCGATGCTGATGGCGATCAGCGTGTACGCGCTGCTCATGACCGTCACAGCTTGGCTGAAGTTGATCATTTTACACAACAACCAGCCGAAGGGCCAGTACTGAAGGATGATCGACGACACGAAGCTGAACGGAATGCAGAGGACGGCCATCAGCAGGTCTGCAACGGCCAGATTGGCTAGCAGCAGGTTATTGCCGGTACGCATATGTCGAAAGTAGCAGACGATGAAGATGACGGTGGCGTTGCCGATGACCGCCACGACGGTGATGAGGCTGTAAATGATGCACGCAGCCATCGCCTCACCGTATGACAAATCTTGAACCGCTACCACCGAGCTTGAATCGTTCAGCTGTTGTGTCAGGGACACGTTCGCCATCAGCACTGACTGCTCCTGGTTTGAAGTACGTTTAGTTTCGGAGCACTTCAATGCTGAAGGGCTTCTTGTGGCCTACGAACAATACCACAGGATCGTTGAGGCATCGAAAATAAGACTCAGTTCTGACGCTTCTGCCTGGCATCACTGCCATAATTATTCAAACGATAGCGGCTGAAATCAAACCATGGTCAAGAAAGCAAATCGTGCCATTTGAATAAATGCGTTATGTATTTATACATGGTCGTCAGTGAACATCTTCAACATGGCAGAGTGTCAGAAGCCCATTATAGCCTATTTCTGTACTAAGGAATGAGGACCAACGGCCGTATTAATTCATAAAGAGAGCAAGTTGACAGTTGTTTACTCGGTGTCTTCTGTCCTTCAAATGGAGGGCGGTGACTCCCGGGACACTGGCGAAATAACCGAAAATGGTTAATGAATAAACTTTGGAAACGAACGAACGTTTCTCCTACCCCTTTCATGTTAGAGATCTGAGTAATCGGCATATGGAACT